TGCTGTTACTCAACATTTAATCTAGAGGTTTGTGACATCAACTCCGAAGTAGGGCAGAAATCAATTTCATATGCATTTTTAGTGTTGTAGTTCAGTCCTTTCTGTAGCAAGTCGTATTCTATAGTAAATAGTAGTTGTTCTGAAAGATTGTCTACCCATTCATCTCTCAATTCCTTCTCTTTTGATGGCGACATTTTGGGTATTCTTTCATTCAAATTTCGCCTCCTTTTCTTGCTTTTGGTTTTAGCTGTTGTATTGTTGGCTGCTGTAAATTTGGACATCAGGCAACCAAGCAATACATATCATACGGGAAGTAAGGTTAAAAGGATATGGACCAGGTTCAGGAATTAATCGGGGAACTTGTTAAGCGATAACTAGCCAGAAGAGAATGACAAAAACTTCATTGCCCAACGTTGTCCCTAGCAGCTGCTGATGTAGTCACCATTCAGGTTCACTAGTCCTCGAAGTCTCAGGTTACTTCAGAAAGACAGAAACAACGTACAACCTCGCACACAGGTGCATCAGTTAAAGTTACCACACTTCACAGTAGTATACAAGGAACAGGTGAATAGAGTAAGAGTGATATCAAAGTAGAAGAAGCTGTGTGAGGGAACAAACAATATGACGATAAAGGTTAGTGCAAATATTCAAGCTCCAGAACATGTCAAGCAGTGAATATGTCTGCGACATTGTGACCGATTTCCAGCCATGTCACAAAGATTCCTCAACCACTGACTCCTTGAATCTCATGGACCCCACTCTGGCAGCCTACATCTCCCCACACGACTTAGACTAACAGTAAGAGACTTCATAACTGGTGCCAGGTCTTGGTCTGATCAACGTGACCTCTCTTCTAACCTAATCCAGTTTCCTCTAACATGGCGCGTCGAGGTAGGCGGTGGGTCGACATGCACAGTTCATGTCCAAATCATCTCAGTCAACTAAGACTCACAACCTCATCAATTGACTTGGCTATCTGTCTTGCCTAGTACCTTTCGCCTGATCTCAACATTGTTCACACGGTGATCCCACCAAACGTGAGCAATGCTACGAAGACATCTATGGTCGAAACCCTGCAGTCGCTTCATGTCTTCTAGATTCAACTAACATATCTCGCAGCCGTACAACAGTACAGAACGGATGTCAGTGCACTATACTCGTCTGGTGATATGTAGTCGGGTATCTTACCAGTCGGTGCCACAGATGACGAAAGAAGGTAAACGCCAAATCAGCTGATTGTATCCGAGCTGAGATTTACTCAGCAACCACCCCCTTCGGTCTGATGCAACGCCCCAAGTAAGTAATTTGGTCGACACATTCCATCGCTTCACTCGCTATCATTAAACTGGGAGTACTTGCACCAGACCAGTCCTGGAGCATCATCTTACATTCGGCAGATGCCAGTGTAACGCATCCCAAACATATTCAGATTTCTGCTCAACGCTTTCACAATATCCTTCATTTTGTCAGCGTCTTCACTTATTAGGACAATATCATCTGGATACTCCAAAGCGGCCTCCAGGGAACAGCTCGATCACTTCGAAATCAGACTTACCGAAGCTTATGTCTATTAGTACGCCAATGACGAAATCAAATAGGAACAGTAACAGTGGTCAACTCTGCCGGACACCACTAGTTGTCGTCTATTCCCATAACAACTCTCCATAAGCCCTGACATACCTGGGTGAGTCCGAGTAGAGAACATTGATTAGCGTCATATACTTGCTGGGTACCCCCTTCACAGTCAGACACTGCCACAACACCTAACAATCCAGAGTCAAATGCAACCTTCAGGCTAAGAAGTATGACAAGTGTCGGTCGTTGACCGGTTCATATGCCTGTGTTCCAGAACTTGTCAGAGGGTGGGAATATGATCCTGGTCTGTCCGAACCTGCCTGGTTTTCTCGAGTCCGCTGTTCGACAGAGCTCCAATTAGGCGTCGGATAGCCATGGACCCAAGGGTATGGGATACAATATTAATCAAACTAATTCCCCCATGGTTGTCACAAGATTTCGCTTTCTTCCTACAAACGTAGATAATCAATGAATTACATCAGTCTGACGGCATTACCTCTGACTCGTATGCACTATCTACTACATCCGTCACTTTAATCAGTAATTTCCTACCTCCGTCCCTGTAAACTTCGGGTTTCAAACTGTCAGGTCCTGCTGCTTTGTGTCGTTTCAAGTTCGATACAGCTTTCTCAACTTGAAGGAGAGTTAGAGGACCGACATCTACATCCCATTCAGGTTCAGCCTGGATGTTGAGCAACTGAAGCGTTGCTGAGGCACAGTTGAACTGTGCTTCAGTGTTCTGCCCAACGTTCTAGCCACCTACCCTGGCAGGTTATCAGCATCGCATCCTTTTCGGTGATGGTTTCACTAGCCATCGTCCTCTTCTTGCCGGTATCATCAATTATCATTATTATTTGTCCCTTGAGTTTGTAGTGGAACATAGGGCTTCAGTTGTATGTCTCCATTCCACTCTCTTCTCTGCAATCTTTTTAACCTGGCTCCACGACAGCCCAGAAGCTCTCATTTCATCCTCACACCATCTCCTCCATGTCAACCTCGGGCACCCAACTCGTTGTTTTCCCCTTTGTATTCCACTCGAGGACCTGACGCATGATGTCCACGAATGATCTTCTCAGTGCATGCTCAATCCAATCCATCTCCACTTTCTTCTGCATATCTGTTGGGCGATGGGTTGTTGGTTGGTTCGTCGCCGGCCAGCCAGAGTTCTTTGTTGCTTATTCTTATTATTCTGGCCATCCATCTGATCTTCAGTATCGGGCGAGCGTAGGCGGGAGCCGTTGATGTACGTCTGTAGCTTGTTGGAAATGCTTTTCGTAATGCGCCAAGTCTCCTAACCATCACATAGAAGCACTGACTTGACTGAGATCAGTGTTGCAAATCCGGATCTTGTTCTTGATGCTGAGTGCAGTACGGTATAGTGCAGATCTCCACACTGATTTCAGACTAACGAAGGCCAGTCTTGCTGTCTTCCCGATCCTGGCTTTGACATCTTCATCTGTGCCTGTGCCGCCTGTAGTTGAGAGGATGCTGCCTAGGTAGGCAGGTAGGTAGATAGGTGGGAGAGACAACTTTCTTTAGATTTCTCCCGTCGATGGTGATTGTTGTTGTTGATGTGGCTGGTCGGCTGTCTTTATCACCTCTGTCTTCTCTACGTTCACCTGAGGTCATGTCTTGCTTCGCTGCCTTGTATCTTCTGCCAACTTGTCAGTTTTCGCCTGTAGATCTTCGAGTTTGTGCGACAGTAGAAATAAATCGTCATTGGTGAAATCCAAATCTTCTACAGTCTTTTCATCGGCCCAGTAAGCGCGTGTCCATCTTCTCGCTCCTCACGGTTTGTTGCACGATCCAGTCCAGTCGATTCGACCTCCATTGATGACATATAGCAATGTGATGTGTCTATTGTTGGTTTGATGTCAGCGGACATCACGTGAGACAGTCTCCTTATGTTTACATTTAGTGTTTGCCAGGAACAAAATTACAGCAAACGATCAACGTTGTCGGTTCGTTGGCATGGGATTCTGTTAATACCCCAAAACGCCTTTACGATTGGCTCAGCTTCCCTACTTGAGTGCTAAAGCCACCAACCCTTATGACTACATCTAAAATTGTTATGCTTTCTCCAGCAAAGTTAACAGCTTCCCACGGAATTCATCCTTTTCACCACTCAATCGGAACGACAGTCCATGGGTGCGTAGGCGGATATTACGACTAGGCATCGCTCAGCCTCACAATCCTTCCTAGTCCTTACAGATCCATTCAGTCAAACAGCATTTAGATGATTGTTGACTGGTATCCAGTCGAGAAGCATACTTTATGCCCTACAATTCAATGCCATGCCTAAAGCAGCGAGTCCACGGGAGCTGGTCACTGGGTCGTCGGATACCCGTAAGGTGCATTTTGAAGATTCACTACTATGACCAGGTGGTCAGCTTAACAACCACACTCGGGTCCCGTATACGTGTCTCTGACACACAGCATACATTCATGGCTAGAGATCCCAGAGTTTTAGCGAGCGCTTCTTGCTGTCCGATTTGGTAGTTAGGTACGTTATAAGCCACAACATGAAACCGGTGGTGGGGTCTTAAAAGACCAGGAATGAGGTTTCTATAGCTTTGGTCGTTGGGAATGGCTGCAGAATGAAGTTGGATAAGGCGTAAGACACCTATTGTTAGTATCAGAAGGTGAAGGCAATGGAGGAGACAGTGTTTTCGAGGAAAATAGGTTATGTTTGGTTGGGTCTTGTGTACTACTGAAAGCGTGCAGGAGATTGACACTTCCCATCTGCCCACATTATATAAGGCTATTTCTTCTTAATGTACCCGAAAGAGAAAATGATATGTGACTACAGGGTTCATAGGATATCTGCTTGAGGCTTGTCACGCACGGCCTTCCGAGGGTTGTTGCTTTCAGGTTTGGTTGTTCAAAACACCAGATAAAGAGAACCCATACCGCTGGCACCAGAAGACTGTGGGACAGATGGATTGTTAACTTTGGGGCCAACCTTTTCTAACTCCTCCATACCGTTGGGAAGGCGGAAACAGCGTGGCACTGCTAGTCACCCAAGGGAAACACCTTACTGTCATCAAACTCCATCCAGCTAGCACCAGTACGACTTCGTCCTCAGACCCCCATCATACTGTAGTAATTTACACTACAACAATAACTGCTTTTCGTTTTACCACTACCTAACAGACCTTTCCGGAATGATAGAACTTTGAGGGAGCAAGCACTCCACCAGCATAGCTCGTTAGATCATTGTGATGTGCAGCCCCGACCACCACGTCAAGGTAGCAGCTTTCCGCCAGGACTAGATGACATAACTTCATCTACACAGTCTCCTGTTTATACAGATGAAACGTCAAAGGGTTTACCTAGCCAAATTATCAGTCGGACTGTGAGCGGTTTCCTCGCTTGATAAAACAATGCGAAACGGGATAACAAAACTACTGCTACTCGTCTACATACTCCTAAACATTTCCGCAAACTAGTAGACCAAGAAGTAAGAATTGCTTTTCAGAAGGAAATCGACTTCAAATACCATTGATGACTGCATTGTTAGCTTATAAGTAACTACTGCTCATGAAAACGTCAACTGAACTGCTGTTACTAATAGTCAACAAAAAAGTAAAAGTCATGAATACTATTTGTGACATAAATAACAAGTATCCATCCATCATCTCAAGTCACTGGTGTTTAGTAGACTTCGCATACTGTCTCACTGCTTCTTCTTGTTCACCATCAATTGATTTTGGTCTGAGACGACGCAATTCTTTAATGGCGTCATTGCCACTGAGATTATTTTTATAGGCAAGGTAGCAGGCTAAAATTGTTCCTGCACGACCTCTTCCAAGCTGACAGTGAACGCCGACTTTCTAAAAGAAAAATTATACAATGAGGTTGTTAAACGCTTCATAAAACTAATCACTAAATTAAAAATAAAGCCATAAAGACAAGGTGTATGATTTAGCCGCATAGGAAGGCAATAATCACAGCAACACAACATTTTAAGGAACTGATTCTTCCAGTAACTTGTGCCATTCGTCTTCATTTTTCTTGACTGTATCCAACTTTCCTGGTAGTTTACAAATGCACGTAGACCAACAGTTGACAAACTTTTGATTATTATATTCGAAATCACTTGGAAGAGAGAAATAATAGTATTTTATGAAATATGGTTGATCAGACAGATTTCAAATGTTCACACGGATTCCTAAATAAATCAGTTAAAGGGTGATAACTGCAGATACCTGATTTTTACTTTCTAATTAGTCCCAGGGTTCGATATCAAATCTTATCCATTTGCTTGAGCTACGCTGGGAACTGAAGAATGTAATATTTGGTTACCCGACGTTATAAATTATTCAAACTCTGAGTATTAGTTGTAGAGAGACAAAAAAGTGATAATAACACTAAAAACAATATGCATGTATCTAAAAATAAGAGTAGCTCAGAAACCATGTGTAATATTGTGCACTCAGTGATGAATCACATCTGTTGTAATGAGGGCTTGTGATAGTACCTGGCTGTCAAAACCTCAATTGGTGAAGCAGGGTCTCAAATCGTGATGCATTGGATAGAATTCGATAGCTTAGATCAATAAGCCAGAGCTATGAGACACAATGATTAGCGAATAACTCTTTAGGTGGTTCGAGATCCCCATGCACATGTTTGCTCAAGTCGACAATGACTGCTAACAGTTCACTGTCACATTTATGAGTGATTCTAAATAATTTGTGTCACTAAAACTCCCAATGTGGATGACGATTAAAATTCAGAACATTGCAAATGTACAGTACAGCAAAGCAGAATAAACTTTTTACCTGATAATACAATAACTTTTACCAGCAAAGGCTACAACAGCAGAACTTACCTCATTTTGCGCTTCAGCCTCGCTGATGATCTTCATAGCTTTTTGAATAATAGGTAAGCTTGCAGCGGTTAAATCTTCTACTGGTAGGTGATAGTGCTTTACTGTCAATGGAAACACAAGAGGTCATTTATATGACCCAAGGGAGAAAATAATAAACTTATTGGGAAATCTGTTTTAAACACTAACTGTTATGGACTAGAAACAATACTGATGTGATATGATCATCGAATAACGCGAGTCGCTTCCCTGTTCTAGACACCATAGTTCTATTAGTTGGAAAGATAAAGAAATTTAAATTCACTGGGAGTTTGAACACTAACAGAAAGCGAAACGGTGATGCGAAAATCATGGGGGTTTTAGGGTTATTGACCACTAATGATTATCAGCAGTAAACGCAACCAATAATGAAGTCCTCACTAAGCAGCTTGGATGGCAGATGACCAGGATTACGGTTATAACCCTGAGTGGAGTTGAGACTATGAAGCTTCAAAGGTATGGCAAAGTATCACGTTTTGAAGAGCTATCCCAGTTAGTTCTAATGATAACTAAAATACGCTGATAACCAGTACTTGCATCAGACCAGTCCTGGAGCATCATCTTACATTCGGCAGATGCCAGTGTAACGCATCCCAAACATATTCAGATTTCTGCTCAACGCTTTCACAATATCCTTCATTTTGTCAGCGTCTTCACTTATTAGGACAATATCATCTGGATACTCCAAAGCGGCCTCCAGGGAACAGCTCGATCACTTCGAAATCAGACTTACCGAAGCTTATGTCTATTAGTACGCCAATGACGAAATCAAATAGGAACAGTAACAGTGGACAACTCTGCCGGACACCACTAGTTGTCGTCTATTCCCATAACAACTCTCCATAAGCCCCCCATCGTACTGTAGTAATTTACACTACAACTAACTGCTTTTCGTTTTACCACTACCTAACAGACTTTTCCAGAGTGATAGGACTTTGAGGGAGCAAGCGTTCCACCACCATATTTCGTTGGGTTATTGTGATATGCAACCCTGAACACCATGTTAAGGTAGCAGCTATTGGAAAAGAAACAATTATAAGCTACCTATGAATGAACTGAAAGTGATTCAGGTCACATAAAAAACGATGACTCAAGGATCCGTAGGAAATTACTCCAGAATTTCAAACCTGGCTGTTCTAATGATAGATAGGTATATAACGCCAGGTAATCGCACAAATTATGTATAACAGTAATTACACTGCGATTATATCATAGAGAAGTTAGTTCAAGAAAAGAAATCACCACTTCACTCACTAAACTAGTATTTAAATGAAAGCATTTGTTCTGATCTCAGATACTTAGACAAACTGCATTTAAAAAACCGCTTTAAAAAATGACAGCGTTCGATTCTATTTATTTTCAAAATTCTATTCATGTTTATGGTTTTCTATGCATAACAAGGTACGTAATCACGTCCTACACTCTAGAAAACAGTTGAGTTGACGTTGCATAGACTAGCATGGTGACAGGAATTTCTGATGTGAGAACCTCCCTGAACCAGGATAAACTTCCAATGCTGACCTTCACTAATAATAACAATATATAATAATATTATATATATATATATATATATATATATATATATATATATATATATATATATATATATATATATAACCTCGCCTGGTTAACTAGTTTACTAGTTACTAGCCGGTCCTAAGCCCGGGTAAAGAGGGAAGGTTGGGCATAGGGCTAGCAACCCTACCCCGTAAAACAAATCTAACCGCTAAAGAAACTTCAAAGCACAAACAAAATATAAAAAATGAAAACAAACTTATTCCCCGCTGGAATCGGAGAGGCGAAATGACGCCAGTTGGTGAAAGCCTTCGGGAAGCCAATTGGCCGATGTGTCTTCTCTCGATGAAAGCGAAAGTAAACGTGGGGACATGGAATGTCCGCACGATGTTTGAACCCAGTAAGGCAGCCCAGATTGCAAAGGAGATGAGAAGGTATAACATCGAAGTGCTTGGGATTTGCGAAAGCAGATGGAATGGGAGTGGACTCTCCAAACTGTCAACGGGAGAATCAATAATCTACTCCGGTCACCCAGACGCCAACCACGAGCACACTGAGGGAGTGGCTATCATGATGTCCTCAAGAGCATCGAAGGCTCTCATGCAGTGGGAACCAATCTCCTCCAGGATCATGTCAGCAAGATTCAACTCAAAAGGAAGAAAGGTCACAATCATACAATGTTATGCACCTACAAATAATGCAGAGCAAGAGAAAAAGGAGGAATTCTACAGACAACTTCAGTCAACACTGGACAAGACGTCAGTTGGCGATATCAAAATTCTAATGGGCGACATGAATGCCAAACTGGGAGGGGACAACACGGGAAGAGAACTAACCATGGGTCGAGAGGCGCTAGGTGAAATGAATGAGAATGGAGAATTGTTTGCAGAATTCTGTGCATTCAACGATTTGGTGATTGGAGGCAGTGTGTTCAGGCACAAGGATATCCACAAAGCGACATGGATTTCACCAGATGGACACACTAAAAACCAAATCGACTTTATCTCAATCTCAAGAAAATGGAGACGCAGTCTACTTAACACAAGGTCAAGAAGAGGAGCAGATGTAGGTTCAGACCACTATCTAGTGCAAGGAACCTTCGAAATCAAGTTAAAAGCCTTCAAGGAAGCTGGTGATAGACCTCAATTCAAGTACAACACTCGGAAACTGAAGGATGAAACTACAAAGGAGATCTTCAAAGCAGCCATCAAGACAAAATGGGAGACGTCGAGGGACATCCCTGAAGAAACCTGTGTAGAAGAACACTGGAAGTCTTTGAAAGCTATGTGGAAAGAAACCTGCACAACAGTATTAGGAAGGAAGAAGAAAGAAGACAAGGAATGGATCTCGACGGATACCTGGAAGCTGATAGAGGAGAGGAGGATGGTGAAGCAGAAGATAAACCAGTGCAAGGATGCTCAACGACAAGAGGAACTGAGCACAATGTATAAAACACTGGATAAAGAAGTGAAGAAGAGTGCACGCAAAGACAAACGACACTTCTACGACACACTGGCAAGTGAAGCAGAACAGGCTGCAGGTAAGAGAGACCTGACGACATTGTATCAAATAACCAGGTTGCTATCAGGGAAGAGACCAACACAGATGAAACCAATAAAAGATGAAGAAGGAAATTTAATTACAAAAGAAGAGAAACAGAGGAAACGATGGGCCGACCACTTCAAGAAGCTCTTGAATCGACCACCACCTGCACTTCGTCCAGAAATACCACCTGCAGCCGCTGAATTACAAGTGAACATAAATCCCCCAACGAAAATGGAAGTCCTGAACGCCATAAAGCTACTGAAATGCGGGAAAGCAGCAGGACCAGATGGAATACCGCCAGAAGCACTGAGAACAGATGCAGAGACAACAGCGGACATGCTCACACCACTATTGCAGAAGGTGTGGAGGGAAGAGAAGGTACCTGACGATTGGAAGAAGGGTTACCTTGTCAAACTGCCGAAGAAGGGAGACCTCAGTGCTTGCAAGAACTGGCGAGGAATCACTCTCCTATCCACCCCAAGTAAAATATTAAGCCGCATCATCCTGGAGAGGCTTAAAGACGCACTGGATTCAAAACTGCGACCGGAACAGGCAGGCTTCAGGAAGTACAAATCATGTGCTGACCAAATTGCAACGCTTCGTATCATCATAGAACAGAGCGTAGAATGGCAATCAGCTCTATACCTCAACTTCATCGACTTTGAGAAGGCCTTTGACAGCGTCGACCGAGAAGTAATTTGGAAACTGCTTCAATACTACGGAGTACCGCAAACCTTTATCCGCCTCATTCAACAACTATATGAAGATGCCACATGCCAAGTAATCCACAATGGGAAGCTCAGTGATGCCTTTGAAGTGAAGACAGGAGTGAAACAAGGTTGCCTACTATCCCCCATGATATTCCTAATTGTGGTGGACTGGATCATGCAGCAAACAGTAGGCAGCGAGAAGAGGGGGATACACTGGACGACGGAAAAGAACCTAGAAGACTTGGATTTCGCCGATGACTTATGCCTAATGTCACATAAACTTGAAGATCTGCAGGCAAAAACTAACAAGTTGACAGAGGAGGCAGCTAAGACGGGACTTCAGGTGAATATAGAGAAGACAGAAGTGATGAAGATACCGCACCACCACCATCAACAACAACAACAAACTCCAATCACCGTCAACGGTAGAAACTTGAAGGAAGTAACCTCCTTCACTTATCTAGGAAGCACTGTTTCAACTACAGGCGGGACGGACGAGGACGTCAAAGTCAGAATCGGAAAAGCAAGACAGGCATTCATTAGCCTGAAACCAGTGTGGAGATCTTCTGCACTCAGCATGCGGAACAAGATACGGATTTTCAACACCAACGTCAAGTCAGTGCTCTTGTATGGCTCAGAGACTTGGCGCGTCACGAAAGGCATTTCCAATAAACTACAGACATTCATCAACAACTGCTTACGCTCGCTGCTGAAGATCAGATGGCCAGAAAAAATAAGCAACAAGGAACTCTGGGAACGAACCAACCAAGAACCTATCACGCAACAAATATGCAGGAAGAAGTGGAGATGGATTGGGCATACACTGAGAAGGCCGACTGAGGACATCACGCGTCAGGCCCTCGAGTGGAATCCCCATGGGAAGCGACGAGTTGGACGTCCGAGGGTGACATGGAGGAGGTCGTGCGAGGAGGAAATGAGAGCTTCTGGGCTGTCGTGGAACCAGGTTCAAAAGATCTCAGAGAACAGAGGTCACTGGAGGCGTGCTACTGAAGCCCTATGTTCCACTAGGAACCCAAGGGACTAATAAATAAATAAAATAAATAAATATATATATATATATATATATATATATATATATATATATATATATATATATATATATATATATATATATAATTTTCACTTGGGCTTTATGAGAGCAACTATAGTGGAATTCTGAGTCGAAACCTTAGTTATAACTAGGGTTATAAAACCACGTTCTACATCACGAGTCACAACAGATTTATGAAAAATTTGTATCCAGAACATGCACAGTGAATTGCTAACGTACACATACATCAGCTACCTGAGATATGGCTGCTTCAAACATCATATGACTAAAACCTGGCAAAGAATAGTACTACAGTCCCTTAAGTTGGAAATACATTATTGATTTGGACTTATCACCACAGACTATAAGAAAACTTTGTAAAATCGCCGTATTTATCGCGAGTGGAGATAATGTACATTAGAACACTTACATAGTGGGTACCGAATAAGACCATGAAATTGCCACTCTTAAAAAACATGTTAGGTACTTTAATGCACTTTTTTACTTCCATAATATAAATCAGGAGTAACAGCTTATCGGTGAAGCACCAGCAGTGATTCAAATTCGTCGCCTGGTACCAGGCAATATAGGCAAGCCGGTCGATAAGATTGTGAATCTTCAACGACTGAGGTAGCTTGGACATGCGTTGCGTATACTGAGCCACAACGATCGCGATGTACAATGACAGCAGGGGTTAGATTAAGTTGTAAGACGGTTCAGGATGCTCAGATCATGACATGACACCAGACTATGAAATCTCTGACTGTTGGTCTGTGTAAAAATTGGGAGATATAGACCGCTTAGCTGGGGTCCCTGAAACCGCAGGAATAAATGTTTGGAGACACTTGTACAGATAGATAAAATCAAGGTAGGAAATCGCATAAAAGTGCAATAGTACCGCTTGCAACACTTCGCAGAAGCATACAAAGAACAAGTGGATAGAAAAAACGGATATTAGAATAATACCAGTGTATGGGAAGAGAGCGTATTTAAAAATTAAGGTTAGTCAAAATATTCAAGCTTTATCAGACATCAAAGCGTGAATACATTTGTGTTATTGTGACCAATTTTCTGCCTTGTCATCAAGAATCCTCAACTACTGATTCTTATCGTCTCGAGAACCTCGGCTGGGTAGTCTACACTGCCTACCCGGCTCAGACCAAAAGTCAGGGACTTCTTACACTGGTGCTACGTTTTACGCTGACCACCGTGAACCTTCTTCGAACCTAATCCAACTTCTGATAGCAATGTACGTTAAGGTGGGCACGCACATGTCCAAGCCACCTTAGTAGATGAAGGTTAACAACAACGACTGACTTGCCTACTTTGTCCAATATCTCTTGTCTGACCTCTACTCTGTTCGCATGGTGGTTCCAACACATGGAAGCAATGCAAACAAGACACCTGTGACACCATAAAAATTTGTAACCGCTTCATATCTCCTACACTCAGCGGCCAAGTCTCACAACAGTTTAAAAGGACAGAAGGAAATGAAGTGCAGTATACTCGTCCTTTAAAAGTTAATTGCCGGCGCCAGAGATGACGCACGTTGGAAAATGATAGACGGGTTTTCTATATCTGAGCTGAAAATCGGTCACAGTGATGCAGATGAACCCACCCTTTGTGAAGCTGTAGTTCATTGGTTCACACAGTCGATTATCAGCCAGTGGGTCACAGGTTAGAACTCAGCCCCACTTACGGTTTGGGCAGCCGGGAAATATCACACAATATGTGTGACTCATTGCTTATTGCACAAACGTGCACAAGGTTGCTGAGTACATTTTGTTTTTCGATTTACTCTGAAGTATTCTGCAACTTAAATTCCTACATCTCCCGTATACCTTTGTCTACATTGATATTAGCTGTTCTCTATCCACTCGTTCTTCTTCTGGTAAGTGTAGCAATTTGAGCCGGCACACTTCTGTGAGAGGTTTTACGCTGACTTGGTCTGTCTGACTGTGAATAAGGAATTGTAGTGAAATAGATACAAGTCGAAAAAAATTCGTAACAAAGAGAAGGACAAATTATTACCTGAGCTTCAAAAAAATTGATGTAGTGGTGAAATGAAAAAGTAAGCTGGGTTTAGAAACTGGTAGGTCTGAACACATAAAAGAATTAAATGTGTGGGAAATTTAATTTATGTCCAAAAGGTTTCTATTTTGGTATTTTCAGAGATTCAACGACGCAAAGAAAACGTTTTTTTCGAAATATCCCAGGAGGCTGTATCGCATTTTGTAGACTACAACGAACGAACCCTTTAAAATAAGGTGCCTACCGTTAGCACTATGGTACGACGGAGTTGCTGATGGATCTGGGCCCACCTTTACTGATTCGAAATAGGTGCTAGTGCCAACGTCAGTAGATCTTTGTGAATTTTCTGCATCTGGCTACATCAAAACTAGCTAAAAGAGCAATCACTGCATTCCTGGATCATGTAACATTACCTGACTGCTCAAACCCCAGCAGGTGGAGTGACATCAGAATCCCTGACCCACTAATTGACAGTCAACTGTCTAAGTTGAGCCTGAGCTCCAAGAAGATGAAACTTCTAAAACAGATAAACTGATTGGCATATTGATCGCTATGGTTTCCGTTCATTTTTTATTAGGAACTCGACTCCCAAACAGTGAGTTACAAGTTGGCAGCTTACTCCATTTACTGACGTTTAGACAGTAGAGTTGCACAACCTTCGTACATGTGATTCGTTTCTTAGGAAACGAGTTCGCACTCGCTTGTACAGTTGCTTGGTAGGTGTGAAAAGTGTTGCGAACATAATCCGATTTTCGCCCAAGACGTTCGACACTCAACAGAACAGTGCCGTCAGTTTACTCTGGGCAAATCATTCAGAAAGGCATGAAGTATTAAGGATCATTTCCGTCAATACATTTGTGACATAGCTGAGTAAGTGACAAGGGATGTCTATTGCCGAGACTAGTTGCAGCCATTCCAGATGACACCTCTAGATAAGCCTTTCAAAGCTGAGTTGATCTCAGTTAAGTAATCAAGCGGTATGTACCTTTTCGGTACTGTCGTCACAATCGAGCACTAGTAACACCAAATGACATTAGGAACCGGTGTCACGCACTGTCGATTGTTTACATGCAAAACCTCGGTAAGTGGTGGTTTGGTTAACTCGCTTACGCCTGCACCCAGAAACCCATCCACTTAGCTTAAGTGTTCCAAATGATCATTTACCCACAATTATAGACACTATACTATATACTAACCAGGCAGATGCACTTGTGACCATTGGGATGATAAACAAATCAGATCACTCTGGCGGGATTATCTATGGATACATTTTTGTAGCGCCTCGATTATTTGAAAAATACTTCATGACCACCATCTTCAAGCACTTCAGTAAGCGAATTGAGTAGCAACGCAGACTATATCGATTTAGACATTATGAAAAATGTTTTGAGACTATTATGTGATGAGAATTTAAGAAAATATCCAAGTAACAGTGACAACGTTCCGCCGATACTCATCAGAGATAGCTACTAGAAATCTAACACAAACATCAATCATCACCATTGTCAGTGACAGTCAGGCGAGACAGTTCACACCTGTGAATAGAATGAGTAAAATTGCATTAAATTTGATCAGTAGGAAGGTGCAACTTAAAAATTCTTTCTTAAGAATTCTGATGACGTAATAATATATACCAACGTTTTTCATTTAATTACATTATAAGTAGATCTGTGGTGCACCTTTCCGGCACTAAAACGCAACTAGGGCTAAAATAAATAGATTAGACTAACTAAATAAACCTCTAGCTCGCCTTCGGATGCTCAAGGTGTTTTAAGCTTTGTTTAAAAGAGAATGCAACCGAGCAGGCTTCGAGGCCATTTTGCGCTCCCTTGGTGCTGGTTAGCAAGCATATACTCAGTCCCCATTTCAGCCAGACAGGTTGAATAAACTGTTCCCCAATTAAACACTACTACATTATTCTAATTGAATATATCGCTTCTTTGAATATATTCCTCCTGAACACCAGTCCTTTTAGATTTGTGTTTCGTTATCAGCACTTACACGTTAGGTAAGGTACTGGTTAGGCAGGTACTAGAGCACATCGAGTTAAGTAGAGTTGGTCATGACCAACCCTACGTAACATGCATGTTACGTAATAGTAACAGTCAGCATACCCCCTACAGATCCATGTAATCAACATCAACCACACTTAGTTTCGGACGGACAATAAGTCGATACATAAAATATATGCATAGACCTACCATTAAAATCCGAAACAAACGAGGGAATTTCATGGCACATGGTGATAATATGAGATATTCCGGCTTCATTAACTAGGTATTCCATTTCAGACTTATCATGGGGGAATCCAAACCCTGCAACGGACTTTGAAACCCACGAGAAATTCTGTGGTTGGTAAGGCATAGCTATACGCTGATGAGACTTAACAAAACTGTATAGGTCCCGGCACCCACAACCAGTGGATAAACAACCAACTGGCAGGTGTGGGCATTGTATGAAGGCACTGATGCACTTGAAGGTCACTTCCAATATCCAATATCTATTTACGAGATAGTGTAAACCAATTGATTTCTTCGCGCTCGCTTCCAGGTCTTGCGGAACGGTTCCAGGTCTTTTGTGGATTCCGATGCAGTAGGTCTACCCACTAGACTGCTGTAGCCCTGGTTAGCCCGATGGGCAGTTGGGTGTTGGTTAAATTTGTAGGGAGTGTTATTGCTTATTTGTTTTTCTTCCAAGGACTGGGGTGCAGATGGGTTCCTCAAGTGTAGTACAAGCAGGTAATTGGTCAAACTGGATGTAAAAAGGAGGTAGGAAGTACGTCCAGAGTGATCAAAAGAGAGAAAGTGCAGAAGAAACAAATGGAAAAAGAAAAGAGAAAGACGATTAGAAAAAAGGAGACCTAAGGTCAGTATGAAGGGGAGTAACTAACATTATAGGACGGAAAGGAATAGAGATAGCGGTTCTACCAGTAGGAGCGGTAACTGGATTGGATGTCTATGGAGAAGTATAAGGTTGAGCAAGGATCCTAGTGATAGTGATCTTACAACGTATTCGATAATGGGTTGACCGTCGTGAGTGAGTAGGTTGTGTCGGCCTAGTCTATATCCAGCTGGATGAGCACAAACTGTACGTCGCTGCATAACTGTCCAACCTCTTCTTGAAGCTGTCAACAGACGGAGCGGTAGCAATCTCGGCAGGCAGTGCGTTCCAGTGGCCGCAAGCTCGCAGAGAGAAGAAGTGTGATCGCGCACGGGTTTCCACCCTTTGGTGAGCGATCCTCCTTGGGTTACCACGGGGATCGCCATAGTGGTCGTTCGGTAGGATTCCACTGTTCGGATAACTTGGGTTACTTAGTATTTGTAAGTCGTTATCAAGTCACCACGTAACCTGCGGTAGCTTAGGGAGAAGAGTCTTTCAGCCTGTCCTGATATGGTTTTTACCTCATTCCCACGACACCCTTTGTAGCTCGCCTTTGGACTTTCTCCAGGAGGTTCACGTCTCTTTTCAGATATGATGGTGCAATGACGTTGTGTACCTCTAGGTGGGGTCTTATGCAGCTTCAAAAAGAGTTCCGGGATCAGGGCACCCAGCCGTCTGCGCATGAAGTGCAGTACTGCGTAGGCTCTGGGGACATCTCCTGGATAATTGAGGCTAGTGTCTAGTTTGTCAGTTAGTATTAGTCCTAGGCCTTTCTCCGTGGTGGTGTGGGAAAGTTGTGTTCCACAGAGAGAATAGGGTACCTTCTGAGAGTCTGGGGTGCAGAGAAGCATGGCTCGGCATTTATCTGAGTTAAATGCAAGTCCACCCACTCTGCAAGTAATCTGAGATTACTTTGCAGTGCACTTGATTCTGTTTCTGACGTCACAGTTCTCCATAGCGTAAAGTAGAATTGGGGAGCTGAGATTCAGTGGGAGGTTGTTCACAAAAAGAAGGAATAGCAGTGGACCCAGAATCGCCCCCTGTGATACACCAGATGATGATATCCCCCAAGTCGAGCAAACTCTCTTGGCTTTTGTGCAGAATTGTCTGCCGTCTAAATAGTCTCGTAACCAGGAGAGAACTTGTCCCTTGATGCCCAACCTTTCTTTTTTGTGAATAAGAACGGTGTGTGGAACTGTATCGAAGGCCTTAGTAAAATCCAGGAAAATAACATGAACGGGGATTTGGAGGTCCCAACATGCCGTCCACTTATCACCTGCCGCCAGAATGCTTTTGGCACAGGATCTGCCCTTTCTGAAACTATGTTGTGCATCACTAAGTGCTCCCTCTTTTCTAAGTACTCCCTGAGATGGTCGTCTACCAGACTCTCTATTACTTTTGACGCCACTGGTAGGAGGGGTGTAGGTCGATTGCATTTCGGGTTCTGCCTGTCTCCTCACTTGACTGCTGGATAAACGCAAGAAGTTTCTCTGAGGTTGTTTCGAAAAAAATAATAGCGTAAGTTTCTAAGTATTTAATTTTATCCTACTTTGTATTTATCCAAATGAGAATACACCCATTTGGGATATTCCATCTTCCAAAACCAGGCTTCAGCAACACTCCTCCAGTTACACGTACTTGACTACTGCGTAGTCGTCAACACACCCTTCAGTTGCAGAGAACTGGCTTTATTCTCCCTTCGATGCGGTCAATCTTCCTCCTGTCTGTGGTTCTTCGTTTTTTCAACCGCCTTACTGCCTTGGCTTTCCGTTCTCTTTAGAAATCGTTGACCGGGAAACATCTTCCCTGGATCTACGTACACATTTGGGATTCGTGGTTAGACTCGTTGGCCACGTGCAGAGGACCAAGCGATAAATATCTCAAGATAGACCAGCACAAATTGTTACCCTTCATCTATTTTATCCCTCCAATGCATTCTAGCTTTAATCTCTATACCATTATTAAATCCGTTTTTAAGATACTATCATGCGGGTCCAAAACAGCTGGTCTGAAGCACCGACGCGGATAACGCAATCGTAAATTGGGAAGCAGAATGACACCCGAAAGGCTGTATCCACAGCCAATTAGAGGTAGGGCGGAATGCCGACCTTTCAACTTGGTGAGCCCCTGCTTTTAGGATACCCATAACTAACACACAGATGACACAGAGTAGCCTCATCATGTCACAAGTTAATAACACACATGGCGAGAACGGGAATACGCCTAATAAGAGAAAGTGTGGTGGCAAGCTTAGGATCAACGTAGCGAGAAACAGTTTACTGCAAGCTATATTATCATGAACTTGAAGAAGCGGTGCGTTCGAAATTGTTACATTTTAACGTGATTTCATAACTGTGTCATAACCTTGTTATTAACGTCATCATAAAGCTACTGGATTCTCAAATGACTAATCGCATATCAAACATGCAACTAGATATGGCTAATGCATGTAAACAGGCACGGACACAACTATCAGTGGAACGGTGCATCAGCAATACCCGAATGTTGGTGACACCAAAAGCAGATTCCTCTTGCAACAGCATAAGTGAGTCAGCTTATACTCCAGTTATACTCAAGAGAAGAAGAACTGCGTTTGGTAAGACAGCCAACGTTAATAATAATAGAAGTGCCTCTGCATGCCCAACATGTAATAAGACAGCAACACTAAATGTTGCAGAAGACGTAAAGCTTGATGGAAGCTCCACATCTTTTGTGAGACTAACTAGACTTCAGTCACCAAGTGTGTCATTGTCACTTCTCCTAGAAATCGAAAGCCTGAAGTCCTCCATAGAGGAACTAAGGGCAGAAATACGCAGACTGAAAGATGACAGACAGAATCCAATATCCAATATTAATAGTGCAAGCGTAGAAAACTGGTAGTTACTGATCTATCGCGTCTAGTTCTTAGGGCTTGGTTCCAGTTATTCGGTTCACTCCTGCAGTGGACGAGGAAATGCCCTCTGCTTTCTTGCTTTTAGTTTCGGTGAGGTGGACGTTTTGTGGGTTAGTGGGTTGTAATTTGTAGAGTGATTAGGGGCTACGGGTGCTGGGAAGTTTAGAGAACTGCCGTGACTCCTGTCTGTGTAGGTACCTGAAAGAGAATACTAAGGTATTGGTAAAGGAATGAAGAGAGAATAAAGAAGAAAAAATTTTAAAAAAATGAAGGAGAGAAAAAACAGAGGAAAAAAATAATAATAATATCGGGAAGAGAAAAGGGAAGGAGAAGAAAAGGAAGGGTGAAAAGGGAACGAAAGAAAAGTATTTGGGAATTGCCCGAATGGTCGCGTGGGTTTGGTTCCTACAGAAGAATTAGTAGGTAATGTGGGTGTATTAAGGAGAGAGATAGTGAGTGGTAGTTAGGAGGGAGTTGGGGGGGGTACTGAGGTTGGTGACTACCTGAGTACGTCCGTGGTAGTCCATGCGAGGTGACATAACTGTCTAATCGCCTCTTGAAAGAGTCGACTGAAGGAGCTATAACGATGTGTCGCGGTAAGGCATTCCATAAAGCACATACTCTTAGGGAGAAAAATTTGGACCTGAGTGTGTTGTTGGCTCTCTGGTGTGCTATCTTAATGGGGTTTCCTCGTGAAGATCGTTCAGTTGCAGGCAAAATTGATTTGTTTGCATGGTCTGCCTGATGGGCGATCTTGTATGCCATAATGAGGTCACCCCTTTTCCTGCGATAACCCAAGGTAAATAGGTTGAGGTGTTTAAGTCTTTCAGGATACGTCTTTCCCCTTAGCCCCACAACTGATTTTGTTGCAGTTCTTTGTATTCTTTCAAGGAGATTAGAGTCTCTCTTGAGTGTTGGAGGAGCCACCGTATTGAAGACCTCTAGGTGCGGCCGCACGTAGGATTTGAAAATGGTGAGGAAGAGTTCGGGAGTGAGGGCGCCAAGCTGTCTACGCAGAAAGTGTAGAATGGCGTTCGCTCTGGTTGTCATACCTTTGTAGTTGGAGCTGGTGTCCAAGGTGTCGGAGAAGTTGAGCCCCAAATCTTTCTCCATGGACACTCTGGTGATAGCACGGTTGCTCAACATGTACTGGAAGTCGGTCGTACTTGCCTCATTTTTACTGATGTGCATTACTTTGCACTTTTCCAGGTTGAAGCTCAGGCCATTTTCCGACGACCAGAGCTCGAGTTGCTGCAAGTCCTTTTGTAGTGCTGCACAATCAGCTTCTTCGTTTACCACCCTCCAAATTTTTATGTCGTCAGCGAAGAGGAGGATGGGTGAGGATATTTTGTCTGGCAGATCGTTGACAAAGAGGAGGAACAGAAGCGGTCCTAGGATTGCTCCTTGGGATACTCCTGACGTCGAGGGTCTCCACTCCGACCTTATTCTGTTCACTTTAGTGCAGAACTGCCTCCCTTCCAGGTACTCCTTGAACCAAGAGAGTAGGGGTCCACTTATACCAGCTGACATGATCTTGTGAAGCAGTACTGTGGGTGGGACACTGTCAAATGCTTTGGCTAGGTCGAGAAATACAACATGTACCGGTTTTCTGTTATCCCAGCTTTGTGTTCAGTCGTCCCAGGCACCACAAGAAAGTATGTTAAGGGCGTTCGAGGTGTCACCCCAGCTGGATGAAATTAGAGCTCAGATTAGCAACCTCTTGCCACTGAGCATCTTGACGCGTAGTGAATCCA